CTCTCTCTCTCTCTCTCTCTCTCTCTCTCTCTCTCTCTCTCTCTCTGGTATTCTTTTTCTTCCCTCACTGTTTCCATCATGAGTGGGGTGTTGGGTTAGAGAGCTCTTCCTATCCTGTTATTTTGACAGAAGGAACACGCCCCTTTGGGTTTAAAGGAAACCCCCCCCCCAAAAAAATGAGGGAAAATACCAAAGAGAAAGGATTGCAAGTCCCCATTGCTTGCCGTTTCTCTTTGCGTCAGCCTGGGGAAGGGGCAAGAAAACGCAGAAGGAAACATCTAAGATCTTGGAAAGCGACTTTTAAAGCCGCGCTCAGCTCTCTTAAACCAGCCCCTTCCTCTGACAAAGGTCACCTCCTGTTCTACTTTTTCTGATCCTCATTGTAAAAACAAAAAAACCCACAATTAAATGGATTAGCGCCGTGGGTGGAGATTTAAATAGGCTTTGGAGGTTGAAGTGGAAATGAGAAACATCAGCCTGAGGGATGAAGCAGGTGACAAGGGTGAACCGGATCAAACTAATGAAATTTAGTTCCCTTATTATCCTACCGAGCCGAACGTCCGATTTTTCTCTCCCTCCTAAGGTGGACAAGTGTAAATTCTGATTTTTCAGGCCGTATTCTTGAGGCATTGCCCATCTTTGATTTAGCCGTGGAGGCATTCCTTGGCTTATGAGTATCCTTGACAGATGTCAAGTGGAATTCTGCCCTGTTTTATGACCTTCCTTTCCACCATCGAATGAAATAAACACACGATCCCGGAACACGGCAACCATCCTAATTACAAATCCGTTGCCAAGCATCTGAATTTGGATCGTGTGAACGCAGCCAACGGTCGTACGTGCAAAAAAAAAATGGCCGTGTCCCTTTTTGCAGTGTCGTATGTTTGAACAGTCACTAAACGAAGTGTTGTAAATCAAGGAATGCCTGTACAGAGATAGATTTGAAAACACCTGACTTGAACCTTTTTCTGAATGTGCTGCTATTTTCCTCCCCGCAGGCCAAACTGCAATCGGGAACAGGATGTTCTTTCATAAAAAACTGGGCTGGTTAACCCCCAATCCTGTCTCCAGCCCCACCGATTCTTGCCTTTCGCCCTCCATGGCATCCTGCTCGGGGGGCTCCCCCTGTCTCGGTTCGAGAACTCCTCCAGTTCACAAAGTCTTCAGGATGGCTGGTTTGAAACCTCCGGCGTCTGTTGCCCGTGGCCCTCTGGCGTGCGAGGGTCTCTCTTCTTCCACCCCCAACGCCTCGGGGATTCCCATCACGTTGATGTCCGTCTCACCTTGGGATGCAGGATTCAATCCCTGGAATCGGAATGAATCTGCAATCTGGAAAGAAAGGAATATTTTCGCAAAGGAGCTGCCTAACCTTTCTCTTCTTTTGTCTCCTCTCCCCGCGTCTGGGGAATCCGTGCCGTTGACTTTCCAGTGCCAGCCTGACTGCAACGCACCCCCATGCCTGACGAGCTTTTCTTTGGGTCATGGCCCTTGTGGGCCCCTGTGTGTCATACCCTGTGCTACCCAGCCCATCAATTTGTTTCCTTGTGGCACACAACTTCAGCTGGCCCCAAATTGCGCCAACATGATCCCGTGTACTGTCAAGATTGTTGCCCCGGGTCCATGTGCCATGAAGAGTGCGAGCCTGTGCAACATGGAACCTCCCCTGGCCTCAAAATGTGCCAGTCCTCTCCCATGCACCATAACATGCCCATGTGCTGCCAAAGATGCCAACGGCCTCCCGTGCGCCATGGAAATTAAACTGGCCTCAAATTGTGCCAGCCCAGTCTCATGTGCCACTAAGGGTGCTACTGAAATGCAATATGATGCAAAAGGTGCCGCCCTCACATCCCCATGTGGCACCAAGGGTGCCGACATCCACCCATGT